AAAATGTTCACCTCCAAAGATGGCAAGCCCAATGCACTTAAGCACAACATAAAATGAATCTGAGGAATGGAAGAAGCAATACTGAGTCAGTTGAATCCTATAGAGATCCTCAAACTTCTACAGGTAAGGTAAAACCTCAAGAAAATGGGAACACAGGAATAACTTCATGAATAACATTCTCAAGTTCAATTTCCAGTATTCCTGTTAAATTTTGCATGCGTCATATCAGGAGGAAAGTTATTCTTGAGTGAAAGGTAGGACTCTCCTTTTTTCCTCAACTAACAAATGGTAGAAAGAAATGTGAAAGGGAATGATTTGGTGCTCCTCATCAAGCAAGAACCACACCCCCATATTTAAAAAAAAGCCATTCAACTCCCTATTGAAACCTTTCAGTCTAGGTCCTTATGGTTACTCAATGGTAACAAAAACAGTTGATAGGATGGGATCTGTGATTAATTTCATGACAAGATTCCCAGTCTGAAATAAAATTTTCATAGTAAAAAATATAAAGGTCTACAGTCACTCAAACCACAGTGATTGAAGCCCTAGGTGAATTACAAGACGTCCAACACTTGAAATAACAAAACTGGATTTCGGTTTCAATGAACTGATATATTAGCAAAGAACTGCTCAATGAAATCACCAGAAGTGTGTTCATTTACTAAATCATTTCTAATTGCCTCAAATAAGGTTAATAAAAGAGTCTCAAAGAAACAGCAATGTGGTCACTGAAAAATCCAAATTAAATTGATTGAAGCTATGAAAATAAAGGCAATTGCTAAGACAGGTGGGAAAGTCCATCCACGTTGGATGAATTCCATCCTTGACCTCTGGGGTACATCTGACACTTGAATGCTAATAGCCCAACTGCTCTGCATACATCATTCTCTTGTGTTGTAGAAGGCAACAGCAATATTACATAACGTTGCAACTTTGGCCGACCTGCAGCAACAACAAGAAATCAGGTCAATACACTACGTCACATTCGCGTTGCAGATGTGCCTCAGAGATCAAGGAAAGCAAATGAACCGACATTATTCTACCTTGACTTTGATTTGTCTCGGTCTGAGTGATAAGCATTAGTCATCGTAAAATTGAATAAAATGTGAGCAACCTCTAAACCTTCATATGACCTGCTAGAAATTCAAATATTGACCCAGTTTCCATAGCAAACAAAAGATCATATTAATGAACACAAGGTAGAAGCAGAACTTGAGTCAGCAGGGTAGTTGCAATGACTTACCTCATGTATATATGTATATATATGTATAGATGTACTGTCTACTTTCAACATACGACACTCGGAATACCACCACTCTCGCTCATCATCGCCAGCCTTTTCCTATTAGCTAATCTCCTCATCAACTCGTAATAGCCGATTCCCCGTTATAACAACGCCCTCGCAAGCCACCATCCGCCAGCTCCATTACATATACAAACGTGCTTTTTCCCACGCAAGTCCTCCTCGACTTGGCAACAAGCACCATTCCAGCCGCAAATCTCTTACAGTTATGTACTCAACTATATATTTGTTGTCGAATTCGAATGTCCAACCGATCGCGTGATAGCGGGACCGTGAGAGATGACTCATATCTGTAGAATGTATGGTGTCCAGGAAATGGATGGAGTAGGAGATGTAGTGTAGCATGACAAATTTCACATCCATTTACTGAATTTAGTCCAAGGAAGATTTTAGTCTTGCAGCAGCTGGCACACTGCAGTTGATTCGAAACAACACCACCCTTGTTATAACAACTAAATTGGGGGCGATCAACAGTGGCGGTATATCTAGGGTTCCCTGTATCGAATTTATTGCCATCACCATATCCACCTTAGACTTTATATATACCTTCCTTCAGTCATGGGATCTTGTACAGTACATAACTAATATGTTTGATCTAGATCAGCGGTACTCAAACCAAAGGCCGCAGGCGGCCCGCAACGACTAAATGTACTTAGCAGTGCAAAGAAACCCACAATGAACACTGTAACCCTGAATGATTTTTTTTCGTACTAGTACACTTTTTTTTAAGGTGGTCACGTCCAAATGAGGTCCCCGACTCAAAAAGTTTGAGTACCACTGATCTTATATTACGACGTTTCAGATATTCAAAATCGGTTGAGATGGAAACTGCATTTTTGGTTGCTTTGCCTCGAGATAGCATAATGGGGACAAGTCCCGCTGGACACGACGAGCAAAGAGAAAAACAAAACGAAAAAAATTGAAAGCACCAGGCGGAAATGAGATCTTCCGAAGTCGAAAAGTGAACTCTTCTTGTTGCAAGAAGAGCTACGAGGTCTAAAACCTCCTGCAAATATATTAGCATGCATTGGACATGATAATGTATTTACTGACTTGCTAATTTGGTATGTATCTGACATGCCTAATTCAACATCTTCATGAGAAAGATCGAACTGTGCCTTAAAAATGGATACGGCTAAAATATTTATTGCGTGCTGCTCACTACCTCATTCCACTGGATCAGAATGAAAAAAAAAAATTTTTGTTATTCTATAATCGATACCATCTACAGCAGTGGTGCACAACTTTTACCCCCTAGAGGGCCAAATTGAGATTTTGGCGTATGTTCGAGGGCTGCAGGCCCTTGAACGTGAGCCGAAATAGGGCGCATAAAAATATGGATCTTTAGCGACCGGGGCAGCGTAGGAAAAATATACATATGTCCTGCGAACCTGAGGCGACAAATTGGAATTTCCCGGGAGGGATATGCAAGCGGACTAAGCGGGCCGCCCGCCCGCGCGTCTGTTCCCACGAACCTCGTTCGCAGGTTCGCAAGGGTTTTCCTAGGCTGGACCGGAGGCATCCAAGGGGCCGCAAAAAAGGTCTCCAAAAAAGGGCCGCATTCGGCCCTTGGGTTGTGCTCCACTGATCTACATCGTCAATAACAGACCTCACGGAAACGCTCATGAGGAAACTGTAAACACTGAATAACCACTGCGTAAAATTGCTTGAAGGCGAACCTTCATCCTTCTGGGTATTTTAATTCAGAAAATATGTTACTGTCACTACCTCATTGACATGGGGCACGGCAATGCAAACTCGGCGCCGCGTGTCATGAAGGAACGAGTGTTTATCAAGAGGGGCATTGACCCGGTAACCCTGAAGACTTGGTAACATGGCAACTGAACCTTGAAAAGAGGCCAGTCCCTCGTGGGACACGGCTTTCGAAAGCACATTATGCAACTTTCATCCAACGGTTGCCTGGCTAAACAATAAACTTGGGGGGGGGGGAGGAAGATTACCTTACAAGGTAATCTTTCCATTTGAATTTATAAATTATTTGAAACGTACTATCATAAGGATTGCGGCTGAGGGATGCGGGCATCTCTATATAGATGAATCTTTACTCTTCTAGCGACGAGGGAACGAAGAGGAGTGTGAATGCGTAGCTTGGAATCGGCCTGGTGAGTGAATGACTCATTCATGTGGGGCACGCACGTGATCGATTCATCCCCGTCAGGACTCCAACGCAGGGAGTCCAAAATAACGCTTCAGTGCTTTCCTATTGAGAAAGGAGCTGTCTTGTGCCATATGTTTAGTCGTAGCTGCCACGTGAAAGGAACTTAAGAAAATGCCATTCCCGGTCACCCAGGATATTCAATGATGCCACTACGCGGCCATGCGCTATTTTTCTCTGGTAGAAGAGGATGCATATTTTTTCATAGTTCCTTGATAGCGATGCATCCGAAATGCAAGGATAACAGGACACTTGTTTCCCCTTAGGCAAGCACTGGAGTCTTCACCTTCGAGATGCCATTTGCAACGATCACCATTACCTACTGTGGAGGATAAGTTTGTGAGAACATCACGACTTGCTTCTCGGATTTGAGCCCATCATCTACGCATGCGTCCATATACTTTTTTACCCCAAGATATGAAAGTACTCAGACACACTGCTCGACTCCAGAAATACGGAAGGCTTTCTCGGGCTTCCCCATTCCTACCCGGAATTTCAGTCCCTCTATACGGGAGCGGTGAAGCACTGCTAGCGGGATGCTGTAGTATGGATTAATGATAACCCTATGGATTAATGAAGCACCACAATGCAGGAAATCATTTTGCAAAGTAGAGCAGACAAAACCAACCACTCGTCTCATCCAACTGAATGGGTTTCACAATCCATGTTCAAATGGGATTGGGAAAGCCCATGACAATCGATCGTCTGTAAGATACACTGATGATTCGTAGCACCTTGCACTAGCTCGCTCGGAATGACGACGCTACCAGGCAAGGAAAGGGCCTAGGAAAAAAATGTGCAATACCTTCATAAGAAACTCATTTTTATTCTCGTGCTTTTATTCAAGGCCTCGGTTGTTGTCAACTCCCCCATGGAATCAGCGGCATGTCGATCCAAATTCCATCAAGTGCGCCTGGTAAGTTGTTTGGAATATACAGGGAGATATTCCTGTTCCTTCCACTCCATGTTGTCCATGGGAACGAAGCGCGGGGATTGAGCAGAGGGAAAAAAAGAAGCTCTTAAGGAAGTCAGTGACACCTTTTTTTCGATGCCATTAGTGGAGAGCATGGAATGCGTTGCAGACATGGGAGCTAGCCACTGGTCAATAACCACATTACAAAACTCATGGCCTGGGGGTTCTTCCATACGTGTTTCAGCGGCTAACACGCACTAAGAAACTTACTCTTACTAATGACACTCGTATGGCTTCGTTCAAGTCTTCAGTTCGTCTCGATCGATGCGGGAGATGGTCAACGTACCTGAACCAATCATTCGCGGAAAACAACAAGTCGATTGGCTTATCAATTCGAATCGGATAATACTGGGGCGGGGTATGCAGTAGATACGTTTAATCTGATCTGCTTTCACAATGGAAGTCTACGGGAATTAAATTAGATCAGTCGTGCCGATTCCCACAGGAGCCCATTATGAAATCGTACCGATCTGCTGCACGCCACCCAACGTATTCATACCATGTGGAAGGGAGAGATAGGCACCCACGCATGAGAGGGAAGGGACGAGTCAGGGGCTAAGCCTGTAAAAGAAGGAAGAGACTCACCCATGGCCATACCGTGGGGACCGGAGGAATTCCCCATTCCCGTTCGCCGCAACGCTGTTCCCGCCGCTGCTGTTGAGGATGTTCGCACCCGTGCCACCACCACTACCGCCACACTGGGCACCACTCACCGCACCACCATTCGGCACAGCTGCACATCCCGTACTCGCACCAGTGGTTCCACCCCCACCACTACAACCACCCCCACCCCCGACACTATTGCACCCAGGAACCCCCGCACTGGGATCATAATAATCGGTTCGCAACGTCCGATCCTCTAATCGGTGATCGGCACTCCTTGCTTTCGTAGCCGATCGGATGTCCACAAACGAAACCGTTGCACTATTCACATCTCCTCCATCATCTTGACCCAACAAATGAATGCTCTGAACTCGGCCGAACCTAAGGGGGGAAGATGTTATTCTCAACAGATCCTCAAACTCCTGATTCACATTATCTTAATCGAATCTTAATATGCTAGTTACTTCATAGTAAAAAAAAAAAAGTGCTTCATGCGTTAAGAAAAACAGTCAGAATCAATCATGACCACGTTGATAGCAAGTTTCCGGCATTACGATGGGGTAAGGATGGCATCGTAGTCCCTCTGAATTTCAAACTCTCTTGTAGAAATGACAGATGCATTACAAGTTTCTGAGTCTCAAACGTCCTAGGGACAGGTGGGAGAGGGGCAAGACACGACAACGAGGATGAATATATTCCTCTTGTTTAGCTATAAATGCTGCATTATAAATAAGCTGGGAAGCTAGGAGAGTCCACTGGTGAGTCTCATTGCCCTGAAATAAACCCCTCTTGTGGGATACATTCTTGTCAAAATGTTAAATGAGCTTCAAAAGCCTCAATCGTTGAACATCGATTGCCTTTCTTCTTTAGGCATCCTCCACGAAGGATTCTTTAGGATTTCAAAACGATCAGGAAAGAAGGGAAGGAATTGGAGGAAGAAAATCCCCCTGATGGAAAGAAGAGGGAAGACGCAGTGGGGCCAGGCGAGATAAGAAAAGAAAGAAAAAAAAAAGGAGGGGGGGGGATAAGAGCTTCGCTGAGCGAGAGAGGAGGGGGAAAGAGAGAGAGCCCCAGGTTTCTTCATGGCTTGGTCGATCTCCCTGCCCTTGCCATGTTCCCTCCCGGCTCGACTGGTTTTGCCAAGCACTACTACGCAGAATAATGGCCGCCTCTCTCACATGAGAGACACGATAATGGCAAAGCCCAAGGCAAGGCATCCCCATACAATCCACCCTATCTGAAGCTGCAGTTCGCCTCGTCAGGACATCACGGCTTCACTCCAGGCCCATCATCATTACCTCCATGCTAATCCCCATTATTCCGAGCTCACAAAATATCGGGTTCTGCCCCCTTCGACCGGTCGAGTATTTACGTGAGATGCTTCATAACATGGAACGTAAACTTTCCAGTATTCGTCAGACGTGGAAAAGTACCAGACATTTGGAACATTAGCGTCTTTACACGATAAAGCCTCCTCAAAACTTCTAAGTAAAGAGTAATCTCAAATTCATTTTACCGGGAAAAAGTTAACATTGCCATTACTATATTCTACTTCATAGAGAAAAGTTCACCGTAATATTTCGTCAATAATAACTTCTTCGATCCCATAGCCACGAATGAGAAATGTAAGGCAGATGAAAATCTCAGTGCTAAGAGTGCATATGGGGAGTGTGAGGAAGGAAAGGTGAATGTCTGAGGAACAACTGGAACGCAGCCAGTTCATGGAGCGAGGGCTCGGCTAGTTTCGCCGGGTGGTTCTCCCTTCTCTCCCTCTCTCAGCTCGGCAACGTAATTTTTTCCCTCCCTTCCCTGCTTGCATTGCATTCCGTCCTTCTTTCTTTTCTCCTGCCCGCCTTATACTTCGGCTTCTTGCATGGGAAAGCAGGGATTCGCACCCTGGAAAATTCCCGACAGTAAATGACACAGTTCTGCCATTCTTCCATCTTTCTCGAGATGGCTTAACCTGTCTCGGGGGAATTGTTCTCCACAAAGGTCTTCTCACCACCATAAGCATTCGAGTCTGTCTTGCTAAGAATAGCGAGACGTAGAAATAGGCCGACTCCGGTTGACTTGATGAGGAGATTCGATGCTAGAGCTCCTTGGTCTTCTCAGGCACGGTCCACAAAGGAGAGATTACTATGACACGACACTGTGATTGTAGGTTATTATATTCACTTCCATTCCTAAAAATTCACGAATATCGGTCACATTAGGCCCGGCCTGAACTTTTTCCCACAGCCACACGATATCCGCATTCGAAATATGCGCAATGAAATTCGTTGTAGATGCCAATGAAATTAGCTGGAGATGCACGATTTCTTCCACATGGTAGGCCTAATAAACACGATGCCGTATCACTGGCGCTCAACGGGGGCCCATCGTTAAAATATTTGTCCTGAAGGCCTATGCCTACTGAAATAAACCGCCATAAACGTGTCTTCAACCTAAAAAAACCTGGATGCTACATCATGTTATACTTAAGCTTACGCTAGCTTATGAGACATCACAGGGCTAAGATAAGGAACTTCATTAGGGACTCACCTCTGAAAATGTTCCCGAATGATGTCCTCATGGATATTTTCCGGTAGATTGCCAACCCAGAGGTGTCTAGTCTCTCTGACCATCTTGCGGTGGAGTCGTCATCGATGCAGGCTGTTTTTCCTCCGCATTTGTCGCCATAGAACCAACAAGGCAGGGAGGGTTCTCACCATGTAGATGAACGCGGGGCGAGGCACCCTTCCCGTCCGAAGCTTTCTCTCACACTGAGAACCACCAGCGAGCGGATGCACGGGCCGGGGCTCCCGGACCCAGCCACCAGCACCAGCTCAGGCAGGCAGATTCCCCTCCACCAATCGGAATCCAGGTCTTCCCCGGGCCAGTCCATTCTCCTTCACTCTGTCGGGGGTGAACCTTTGCCTTTCTGTCGTCTCATTTCATTGATGAGAAAATATACCCTGCAAAACCTTGACTTGACGGGAAAGAGATTCTCGGATCCCATTACATATGCTAGAATTATTCGTCGTCTCTCATGAGGCTCGCTTTATGGAATTCGATGGAAAATCATATGAATCAAGATAAATTTCGCATGAAAACTCCCTTTGAAATTTTGAGATGTAATCACTCGTATATATGGCTCAAAAGTAATACACATTGACATTATTGATGGTACGTGTCTCTGACGAACGAGTGCATCGGCATGCAAGTAGTCATGATCGAATCCCAAGCCAGACTTCCAGATCTTTTGCTCAATGTGAGTCGAATTTCGATGTCAAATCCCTAAATATTTATATTTTCAGGATTGGAATCGAATCCAGAATTCAAGCTTGGACTGAAATCATAGCATCTGGAGTGAAAAGCAAAATCTGAGGGGGTTTAATACTGTTCCCTTTAGCATAACTTCTGTATCATGCCAAACTATTGCACGTGAGGGAAAAATCCTCCATTGAGGGAAAAATCGTTCATTTAGAATGTGACTGGGAGTCAGGAATATTTTGTTTTTATCGGCTCTTACACTTTCCAGAGCCGCGAGTCCCTCTTTACCAGAACGACCCAACGGGTTCAAAGAGAATATGTTCTCATAAATGAATATGAAACATGAATTAATGAATGATGATATCCTCTTTGCCCTCCACCTTCCCTTCGACATAAGTCGACCTCCAATAATAGAGGTCTAATCGAATGGCGCCACCGCCGAACGGTGTTGCCATCGCCCACGAGCAGTTATGTTCCAGTAAAACATGCTGAATTTTTCAAAATTCACTCCGTCAAAGCCGAAACGAATCTGAATGAAATCGCGCCAAAAACAATAGCGACTCTAATAGGAGTCGTGAATTCCAAATGTAATCTCAAATGGGATCGAAACGAAAGGTGGATGCGCAATCGCCCATCACTGGGTGCATGCCGTGCGTCCGTCGGCGCGAGGACACTGCCTTGATGGTTGAGTTAGAAAACAGATGTCGCTCGTGCAGTGGGAAAACGCAGCATTCTTATCAGCCTTGGAATAGTATACGTGGATCACGCGAGAGAGGGTGGAATGAGCTACGTGCAACGGCCTATTCCCGGTAAGAATGCATCCTGGTCTTCCGACGTTACTCCTGCTATGACGTCATCTGTCATGCGATAAGGGAGGGAGGAGGGGGAGGGGGGGGACGGAAAGTGACGAAGATGAATTGCTCGCTTCTACTGTTTGTTTTGTTGTAGAATCTGAAAGAAGTTCTATGTTATCCTGCTCCTGGAGGAGAGTGAGTGGTTGATGCGAAAGGGACACATGGCACACGGCTAAATTTAATTCTTAGTTGCCCCTTTGTGGGGGGGGGGGGGGGGGGGGGGGGGTCGGTCGGTCGGTGAGGAAGAAGTGGTTCCAAGGGGCGAGGCGCAAGCGGAAGAGACCTCGTTTTTGGCTACGGTTCAGGTAAAAGTAGCGATGACGTCGGAAGCCGAGAAAAGAACGTCTTGGTTTTCTCATTCGCTCCTTCTCCGATTCTGTCGGATGGAGACTCGGAGGGAACTCCGGGTCTCTCGTGAAGACGTCATATTTCACTATTCCTAGACGTTTTCTCTCCGGAATCTCGACTCCTTTTTCCATTTTCAAGGCCTAAAAAATTGCGCGTCGATCGGGCAGGGAAAGCGGAAGGTAGTCATTTCGGAGAATTTCCAAGGACTCTCCCAGAATGATCTCCGGATTCCACTCGTCCCATCGCTCTTCGCTCGCCTGTTGCTGGTTGTCTCCGAAGTCACGCGAGGCTTTCACTTTCGGATGCTCTCGAGCAGGGACAGGTACGAACAAAGGAGGCATGCATTCATCGTCGACAGGTCCGACCTTCGGAAACCCGTGCGTCCACGTCCGTTTTTACTCGGCGTTTCACCGCAAAATACGTTCCAAGCCGCTCAGATCCGATTTCTGCATTCTCGGAGTCCGAGAATAAAATGGCGTATGACGCGATCGCAAGCATCGAGCGAGAAATGCGTTGCCGATGGCAACGCACCTCTCGCTCGATGCTTCGTCGGACACGGTCCGGTCGACCCGACCCCAAGAAGCGGAAGGGTGCGTCGTTAGGCAAGGCGTTCAAGGGTGGGTCGTTCAAGGGCGGGTCGTTCATTGCTTCCGCGTCGCACTATGGGGGTGCGAGAGTCGCGATGAGGTCGATAACTCCTATGTACCTTCGGGACTCCGCTTTTTCTTCTCTGCATATTCAAGGTGTTCCAGAATTAAAGAGCTCGCGTGACTCGAGGCACCCTTTACTCCTGCATGCGTCCGCCGGGCTCTCGCGTGAAATGCGTTCCGAGAATGTGCTATCGTGCTTCGGGCTATCGAATCTCAAATGCGATATTCTATCTCGTCAGATCGAAGGCAAACGAGCTCGGCTTTTCTTACATTCCGAATGAACCCATGTCTCTTTTCGACCATCTCAAGTATTCCTCTCCCGTCCCGTGCCTGTATTTATGCCGACCGAAGCCGGATTGTTTTTT